TATAGAGTTACACCAACAAAATAGAGAAAATTATTATTCATATTACTAAAAGATCATGTATTTCCTAATGTATGACCTAGTAGTTTTTTTCCCCTAGTTTGTTGCTTGTTTTTCGGCCTTCCCCTCACATGCATATTAAATCCTAAGCCTACAAAATAGAAGTTATCCCTAAATCCTACTCGTGTGTGGTGGTTATTAGTCATATTCCAGTAAAACTCATTTTCTAGTCATATAATGGGAATTCCTCCCTCTTTTAGTATTATTATAGTATTTTTCCCAACAAAATATTCATACCCAAAAGGTTATTAACCCTCATATACAGGGGCTGGCCGCTTAAGATTTGGATTGAGTCTCATTTTGAAAATAAATTCTATATTCTTTAACATGAGGAGCTAATTCTCATACAAATATTTGCAAATGGGTGAACAACTTTGAACATAACAGTATTCTAAGATATATAGAACAATTTGAGCCTTATCTAACCCCATACAATTAATTTTCTCATATAAAGGTGAACTATTAAAATGTTGGTTCTTGTGAATCGTGCTATTTTTCTAATGAATGAGTGTCATCTTATTTTCAAAACATGCTAAACGAAGAGGCAATATTAATTCATCATTGTAAAAAAAAAGATATGCCTCTATGGTATGCAGAAACCGCAGTAACCACAAATGTAAAAAAGATAATGCATTGATAAGCAAGTGAAGACAACATTTTGAAGTCTTGGCCTGTTTTTGTCCACATTTTACAACACTTGAAGGTCATTTTGCATGCCTATTTCCAGAGAAGTTCTCAAGTAAGTTACAGGAAGCTCAGTTTAAAAAGTTGAAGAAGATTTTTCTCAGTCACAAGGTTGAAAGGTTCAATCCAAAATAGTTCAATCTCAGATTTTACACTCAATACCCTCTATTATGTTTAATATGTACTTACCTATTAAACATAATTAGACGTCAACAAACCCCTCTAGAGGATAAATACAGTATGTTATTAGTAACCTTTAATTTGGACTACATATTATCAAAATCTTATAGGTAACTTTTTTTTACTAATTCCAAGTTCTGGTCATTATCATTCGGAATAGTTCTAATACCATAGCCGTCGTTAATTGGCGGAACTCATAAAAATAACAACTTTTATCATAAACTAAAATGATTGTAACTTTTTGTCAAGGTTCTATTTTTCTTCAGTAGTTTGATGTAATATGCTTCTCATTATTGTAGTCATCTCTTACGAAGTAATGCATTCACTATATACGGTTATAGCTATGGTTGACTCCTACATTTGAGGGATGGAGAAGAAACTCCATGGTTTTTTTGAATCAATGCTCACTATTATCTCATTTGACAATGTAACAATCTAATAAGGTCATCATATTGATTTTGTTAGCCTTTTTCACTTTAAAAACAAATGCAGGGTTAGTACAGTTTAAAGTGGAAGATAAACAAAGGCAAGGAAGTCGGCTCCAGTTAGATGCAATTAAACACATGGAAACAAAAACCATTCAAACTGAATAGGCGCTGAAACAACACAGTAAGCAGATGAACCATAATGTGAGGAAGTAAAAGGAATTCAAAAGCAACACAACCAGGGGAAGGAAAACAGTGAGAGGGGTTGCTTACAGTGCAAAGAAGGGCAGGCAGTGCGGAAGTTCTTCCGGAATTGCGTGTAAGCACATTTATATTTGGTGAAGGCATAAGGTCTGGACTATGGAGTATGAGGCGTAATCCATAACAGATGAATTGAATGACAACGCATTCAATAACATAATAATTTGGGGTATTAATGAGGAAGGAGATGAGTATACTGAGCAAAAAAACGGACAAACGAGATGGGAATATACCTGTACTGTTGGCGCGAGAACACGGAGACGCCGAGAGCTATCCCAGTGTGGTTAGGGCGCAGATCAGACCTGCTCTGCGCGAAACAAACGGGAGGTCATCGAAGGGGTGCGAAAGAAGGGTAGACGTAGATTAACGGAACTTAAACGGCAAACTAAAATCCTTTAAAAGAGTACACACCGCAATTCACAATGAACAACCTCATAAAGCAAATGATTACACCAACATTTTTTTCAGTCACAAAATACCCTAACCCTCATTGAGGATTATAAGATTTTAGGATAGGATTTACGATTTAAGGGAAAAAAAAATTAAAATACCCCCAAACTTTGAAGGGGTGTGAGATGAGCACCCCAAACTTACATATGTAATTTAAATACTTCAAACTTTGAATAAAAAGTTATTTTAGTGTCGTAGTCAAGTATTAATTTTTTCAAAAATGTAAATTTATGGTGTTAATTACATAATTTAAAATATTTTAGAATTCATGAAGACACAATCAACATTCTAATCTTCCATTGCAAAATAAATAATGTTACCCGCAATCTACTACGTATATAATTGCAACACTTTTAATTTTCTACTAGTATTTTTACCCGTGCGTTGCACGGGGTGATCACTCTTATTAATTGATATTGGTTGCATATAGATATGTTTTTATTCATGGTGGCTATTGAACTTGTAATTAAATCACAGCTATAAAAAGAAAATGTTTTATAACATTACAAATAATTTGTCTAAAATTATTTCTATGTCGTGTAAAAATCAAACCGGGAAGCAACCTGGCTACTGAGCGGGTCACGGGTAAATTAGGACCTGGGTGGGTCAACTCGATCAATGCTAGAAAACCTGTTAATATTAATAATACTAATAAACATATAACTATATATAAAACTAAAATAAAAAATAAATACATTTCCAATGATAATATGGAGTATTAGGTAAGTATTTAAAACACTTATAATATTTCCAAATATAATTTTGTTCTCGTCAGGCTTTAGAATACATAATGTGATTTGTTACTTTGTTGTACAATATAATATAATTTTTTATAAATTTCTTTCTTAAATAAATATATAGATATATCACATATTTTTTCCATTTAGGATATTGAAGTTGCAATTTATTTGGTTTAAAATGCTTAGAAGCAAAAAATATTTTTTTTTGGAAAAAAGACTTCGAAACCGGGTTTTTCCGTGTCAACCCGGCCTGTCCAAGTCTGTTTGTTAAACATTGGATTATCTGTGATGTGGTTCGAATGTTGTTATATATCACAAATTTTAATCCAAAAATATGATGAAATATATCAACTTCTATATACGGTTTGACCATTAAGGCATTAACCTTTGTATGGTTTGGCCATTAAGGAAATACTAATATTTTATTTGAATATGTATGAAATTACAGAGTACTACTACTAATTAAAATAGATCTCTATGTGAACAACACTCAAAAAGAAGCCATTGATCAATCTTGATCTAACATATGAAATTTGGGGAGTACCTTTTTAAAAAACATAAAAAGATCCAAAAGTAGTGAAACACCAAATCTCGATCTCCATCACATTGAATTCCGAAATCTGTAGCTTACCTGTTAACTCAACATGTTTGTGCAAATTTTACCATTCTCAACACCAACTACACAAATATTTATCATTATACAATTTGTATCTCCAATATACAAAATTTTATCCTAATGAGGACCTAATCTATATAGAAAGCTATAAGGTTCCCTTTCAGTAAATTCAAAATATACCATCACCATTCCACTTATTTGCAATCACTTCTTTTGACAAATATTTATGCCCACAATTAGGAAATGAATCGAGGATAAGAACTTATATAACTCTAGCCTAACTACCAAAATTAGGACTTGAATATGAGATCCACTTTTACAACCAATGTTCTTTTAATGGTTTTATGATTTCCTCATATCTTCAATGTCATATGAGATAATCATTAAATTATGAGCACATAAGCTATGATGGTAACACCTAAAATAAGTATACAATTAAGAAACTGTTTTGTTGGTCTTAATCTTATTACTTATTGCTTATTCTTATTTTATTCAGATCAGATCAAATCAGATCAGAACCATTCAGATCAGATCAGAAAGATTCAGATCATATCAGACCATATCAGAAACATTCAGATCAGATCAGAAAAATTCAGATCAGATCAGATCAGAAAGTTCAAACATGATTTATCACTTTTATTATTATAATAAGTATTATTATCATCATCATCATCATCATCATCATCATCATCATCATCGTCATCGTCGTCGTCATCATCATCATCATCATCATCATCATCATCATCATCATCATCATCATCATCATTATTATTATTATTATTATTATTATTATATTATTATTATTATTATCATGATTACTATGATTATTTTGATTATTATAATTATTGTTGTTACGATCATTATTACTATTATTATTCTTATTATTCTTATTATATTTATTATTATTATTTTTATTATTATTGTTTTTGTTGTTGTTGTTGTGGTTGTTGTTATTATTGTTGTTGTTGTTGTTAATGTTGTTGTTGTTTTTTTATACACAAAAGTTCTAATTACAATAACAATTATAATTACTGAAATTAATATTATAATTAGAATTAAAATTAAAAATAAAATTGCAATTATAATCATAGCTAAATTTAATAATTGGTGTAATAGGTATAATTATTATAATTATAATTATAATTACAATTTTTTATAATTATGATTTTAATTATAATTATATTTAAATTATATTTATAATTATGATTTTAATTATAATTATATTTAAATTATATTTGTAATTACAATTATAATAACTTTAATTGTAATAATTATAATTATAATTATAGAAATATTCAGATCAGAAAGATTCAGATCAGGAGGATTCAGATCAGATCAGACCAGATCAGAAAGATTCAGAGCATATCAAAAAGATTCAGATCAGATCAGAAAAATTCTGATCAGATCAGTTCAGAACTTAAAAAATTCAGATCAGGTGAAGAGAACAACTTCTAAATAAATATGTCGTAGACATTAAATAATTAGGCAATCGATATGAACATATTATGAACCCAATTTTACTATCATGAAACTTGAGACATACTCACATTGTTTATACTTTTATATGAACATATCTAATACGGAGTACTATATTTACATGATGATAGTGGGGCTCTTAAGACTCAAGAGGAAAAGATAACATGAACCATTTTTAATAATTGAATACATGAAACTTTCATAACATCATATACGGAGTATGAAATTGAGTATTTCACATAAACCAAGCCAATTAGATATTTTAGTACCAACAAACAAATAAAAGAAGAGAAATGATGCCAAATAGGACCAAACGTTTGGGTAAATACTTAAATAGGACCTACTACTTTTTAATTCTTAATTAAATAAGACTAATTTTTTCCGTGTTACCAAAATTACCCCTGTTTATGAGACTTACGTTTTTCTCTCACGCCAAAGCAATCTCTCCGTAACAACCTCGCCAAGACCTCTCTCTCTCCTTCATCCATAGCTACGCAGGGCAACCTTCAAGCCTAATGGAGTAGTTGAGCTATAGTGGCATTGTAGATGTGCCAAGACAGAGAAGATGCAGTGTTGCAGCGTTCCGGCAGTCCGGCGGTGCAGCAGTCCGGCGGCTCGGCAGTGAAGCGGTCCGACGGTGCAGAGGTCCGGTGGTGCAGCGGGAGGCCTTGGTGCGTTCTCTTCTTCTCTCCTTCCTCCTCCTCTTCTTCTTCTTCCTTTCCTCTTCTCTTCTTCTCTTTTAGATCTGGGAATGTGCTGTTCTTTTTAGATCCAGCATCTGGGAATGTCGGTCTTGCACTCTTGCCTACGTGAGGTGCATACATATCTAGGTAGTGGGAAAGTTTTGATTCCTTTAATTTTTTTATTCTCTTAGATTTCTTCCAGCATGGTCCCTTTCCATTTTCTTATTGTATTTGTTTTTTGAATGGTTTTGTATTTGTTTTTTGAATGGTATTCTATTTGATTATTTAATTTCTTTTTTTGAGTTCTAACTTTTGCATATTCTTTATTTACTTTTCTATCAATTATTTTTAGATATAGTTGATTTAAATGTCATTGTTATCGTAATTAACACTTTGGTGTGCATTGTCAGATAATTTTGCAATGATATTAACATTGTCACATTATTCATAATGATAATGTTGATAAATGATTTTAACATTCAAACATTTTTGTAATATTGACAGTATTGTCAATTTTTTAATTCCAATGACATTGTTATTATTTCACATTGTCACAATGTTAGTAATGACATTGTCATTATATCTTTGTTACAATGTCCTTTTTCATAACATTGTCATTGACATTGTCATTGACATTATAATGTCATTATTATAACATTTTCATGACAGTGTCACATATTTTAAAAATGGCAATGTCATACAATGACATTGTGATATAATGACATTATAATAGATTATTATTTCACAAAGATAATATTCTATAGCTTTGACATTATGTTTAACAATGTTATTTTTATAATATCTGAAGTGTTATGAAATTATCGTTGACATTATTATGAAATTTTCATTAACATTATATTTATATTATTGACATTGTTATGAAATTGTCATTTACAATGTCATTTTATGGCATTGCCATTGTTACAACATTGTCACATTTTTTCTACATTATAACAATACTTATAGTATTCTGATAATTTTTGTTAGTGATCATGTTTATAATCACAAGGTTGGACATTGTAATGTTTTTGTTTCTACATTTTGACATAATTGTTCACCCGTAACAACCGTATAAACAAATATGACATTTTCATAACATTATCACTAATTTTAAACAATGACATTACATTACATTATCATATACAATTAAAATGTCGCAATAAATGAAATATTACTTTTTCAAAATGAATAATGAAATACTTTTCAAAAATTAATTTAATTAAATGAATTTACAAAATAATACAAAAAATAATAAACAAAGCAATAGGCAATAGCAACACTGTAACTTAGTAGAAGTTGAAAAGTCAGACAAAAACGTAGAACACTTATTGCAAGGCAAAGGCCGCACAGAGTCGAACTATATTCCGCAAAATAAAATTAAAAAAGAAAAGCAAACATAAGGTACGGAGAGTTATGCCACAATAGCAGAAAAGGGCGGGTGAGAGGGGGTGAAGAAGAAGATCAGGCGACCACTCCAGCTACGAGGAGCGGCAACCAGTCCAGTGATGACGAACGACGGTAAGCTCGGCAGCGACCTGCACGAGCAGTAGTGAATTGAAATCGGTATCTTCACCGCCAATGGCTTCTTATGTATACGGAGTTTAGTTTTTGTTGGGCGTTGTTGGTCGCGGAAGATTTTATAACGGAAGGGTAATTTTGTCATCCAATTAATTTTAAGTCCTATTTAGGTTTATAATTCTCGCTACTCCTATTTAGATGCATTGACTATGTTTTAGTCTTATTGAAGTCTATTTCCCATAAAAGAAACATGTCATAGGCAATTTAACTCTAGAAAATTTTAAGCATAAAATGACATTCTTATATGTAATGCCTAGGAAATTAACATACATTCTACATTTATTAGCTTAAGCTTACAGTTGCATATAAAGGTATCCTGTTGGATAAGGTAGAGCAATGTTTATTAATGTCTAAAATTTAGTGGTCCAGAAAGTACCTAAAAACATCCCGCAAAGTGGTTATTAGACCTAGATGGTACATTACATATATGGAAGAAGAGGTATATTCATTTTCTTCAACGCCTCGTTCGTTTGCAAACCAGACTCGTCGTGACCACTGACTTAGCCGTGCCAAGGAACTGTCAGAAACCTTTAGAACTTTTCACCGTTAGCCATGGGTATCTAGCGGGATTCGATGCATGAAAGGTGAAAGTATGAGCTCGGAAGACAACCTGAAAACACAAAACGGGTTCCAAATGCTAAAACAATTATAAGGCTCAGGGTTCGAGGGGCAACCTGAAGTGGCGAGCCTTGAGGTTGGATACTGGGAACTATTCTTGGGGAGGTGAAGCTCTCACCAGGAAGACCAAGATTTTTGATGTGGTTTATAATGCCTCAAACATGTTGATCCATTTTTGTGCGAGTCTAATTTAGAAATTAGAAATTGAAGTGAATACAAAACATGTTGATCTGAGGAAGTAAGGATTTAAATCTACTTTATAACTTTCTTCTTGGATGAAAAACTTATGTCTTGTGAATGTGCAATCTCACCTCTAGCACTAAGTCACTAACACTTTCCAGCAGTGTGCAGTAGTTATAATTTATAATGCCATACCTAGTATAAAGGTGAATCTCAGCTTGAAGACCCAGAGAAATTGCCTACACAACAACAACAAAATGTGAATCCCCTCAAGAAGTTCAATCATTATTTCACCTTTGCTGCAAGGAATAATAAGGCATACATGTACCTACTGGTGTTGTTACTTTTATAGGATAGACTACGGAGTATCACTTTATTACTGGTAATATTATTTTACACAACAATATTATTACTTCGAATTGAGCTACAGTATCACCAAATCGCAATGAATCAACCGTATAACTAAATAAAAGTAAGGGGCTGCAGTTTTCTAATGGAAATACCTGTTTTCCTAATTGTAAAAAGTTGGTAATTGTTTTCCTATACTGGACGAATACGACGTGTTTGATGACTGTGGAGTGTGCAGCCATCGTTGGTAAAATGAAACTATTGTGTTAATAGCGATAGATAGGTGACAGGTTTGTAAGGTAGAAAGAGTAGCAGTAGATTAAATGGAGGAAGGCGGAAAATTGAGAGGAGATGGACGATGTGAGATTGATCGGAGAAAGCTCAAAATGAAAGGGGAAAGAAATGATAATCGACCGGATAAGGAAATGATTAACAAAGTGACTTAGTGCAGGCTTCCTGTTGAAGAAGAAGGCTTCGAGTGTTGGCTTTCGGCTGAAGAAGAGAAGGCAAACAGAAGGAAAGGGTTCGGTGGAGGAAATTGATAGGTGGAAAAAGATTACTGGAGAAGAGTGATAAAAATCTAACGGATAGGATATTTTTAAGTGAATGGTCCAGATCAATTTGTATCACTATTAAGTATAAGGATTTTAAATTATGCAATTAACCCCACAAATTTTGATTTGTGAAAGAAATAATACATGACAATGGTGCAAAAATAACTTTTTTATATAAAGTTTGGGGTATTTAAATTACATATGCAAGTTTGGGACGTTCACCTTACACTCATTCAAAGTTTGGGGTATTGTTATTATTTTTCTCATTATTTAATTATTTCAAAAAAATTATATACTAGTACTACGTACTTTCTACGAGTTTATTGACAGGAGTACGGGTATTGACAGGAGGTATCAACTTTTTTCTCAGAGCAGAACAGAGCCACGTTTCCATGCCTACAGACGGCCATTCATTTGGGCCCAAAAGCTCTTACTCATACACAACTACCGTCTACTATGGTGAACGGAGTATTTTACTGCTTATTCTCTTGACGGTTTGTTTCAGAAGCTTCGATCACTACATTCCTCTCTGAGTTACTCTGTACACTAAGCACATTCACTTTGCTGCTATTTCACAGCCCTCGAATTTCTTAAAAACCATATCCCTCCTCTCATTCCAAGGTACGCACTTATCTTTGTGATTGGGAAATGGCTCAATGCTACTGCTTGATTGCGAGGTAGAGACGTAGAGTACAACTTGCTGTTCTATTGCATTGCTCAGAAGTTTGATTCTGTTTATAGTAATTCGGAATTTGTTTGATTTTAGGTGAAAATTTCGCATCACATATTTCTAGGAACTCTCGAAATGTTTGGGCTTTGAATTTTATATATATCAGTTTTACGGCCAGCACTGGGTGTGGAATGACCTTGTTCTTTTAGTACAGTTGCAATAAGACTAGCTTTGTGGTTTTCAAATATACAATTTGACTTCAAAATGCTTAAAGATGAGGATGTAATGATTAACAATAATGGAAGATGTGATTGATTTACTGGACCATAAAAGTGATTACTGATTAGAGAACATTCTCCCTCATTAATTTCATTATTGCTGCTGTATATTTATTTATTTGTTTATCCATCTTCCATATGTGGCTGCAGGTCTCTTGTAATATATGGTTATGGATCATTTCATCGGAGCCTTGCCTGACTCCTCTACTAACAGTTTCGAGTGGGAGAATGAGATCATTTTTTCTAACTTTAAACCATCAGAGGACATTCCAGACATCTATAAGCATGCCCTTTCAATGGCACAACATCCCAACCTGGGTACACATGCTCCTGCTTTGGACTCTGATCCTGTGCTGGATTACATAAGCCAGATGCTACTGGAGGAGGAGAGTATTGGTGGGAACAATCACAACATGTTCTTTGATCCCGTTGCTCTTATAGCTGCTGAGAATTCCTTTTATGAAGCCTTGCATGATAACCCTTCCCCGCTTATTATTCATAGCAATCCTGGAAGCTCTTGCAGGTATGGTGTTGATCCAGAAGAACCCGAATCATGTGGGACAAGTGAGCCTCCCCCTGATCTCGCCATCCAAGCATCACCCGATGTGTCAGATGATCGTGAGTCCATATCTGACTTCATGAGAGGTGTGGCGCAAGCTAGTAAATCCCTTGAAGCTGCCCGTAATCAGCGGGTCATCGATGATTTGGAGAAATATGAGGAATCACCGAGAGATGTTGATGTCACCAAGGTAGAGAAGGACCATTCAATGGATTCAAACCGCAGAGGAAAGAAGCATTATTACCATCCAGAAGAAACTGGTGTGGAAGAAGAAAGGAGCAGCAAGCAGTCTGCAGTATGTAAGGAAGAGGTCGAGTTATCAGAGGTTTTTGATAAGGTTTTGCTGTGTGCTGAAGATGATGGTGGTGGGGATAAAGATTCATCATCTGGAGTGAGACAAAAAGGGCGAAGTGGTCACCGCCATCTAAACAGACAGGGAGTTAATTGTGAAACTGTCGATCTGATGTCTCTTTTAATCAATTGCGCACAATCAATTGCTGCCACTGATTATAGGAGTGCAAAAGATCAATTAAAGGAGATCAGGCACCACTCTTCGCCTACAGGTGACTCAAATCAAAGAGTGGCTAATGTGTTTGCTAACAGTCTGGAGGTACGTTTGGCTGGAACTGGGTCACAGTCATATAAAGCATTATCTGGTAACGACCTCATAGTCCCGGAGTTGCTAAAGTCCTACATGTCACCTTTGCCATTTATGAGAATGGGGCTTTTCTTTGCGAATAAAATGATTTGTGAAGTAGCGTCAAAAGGTGTGTCACTGCACGTCATAGACTTTGGGATTCACTATGGTATCCAGTGGCCCACTCTTATCCGGGATCTTTCTCAAAGACGTGGTGGCCCTCCTAAACTGCGAATTACAGGAATCGAGCTTCCCCAACCCGGTTTTCGTCCAGAGAAGATGTTAGAAGAGACAGGTTCCCGCTTGGCAAAATGCTGCCAGCGTTATGGTGTGCCATTCGAGTACAATGCGATAACGAGGCATAACTGGGAGACTATTAAAGTTGATGATTTAAAGCTTTTGAGTGATGAGGTGGTTGCTGTTAACTGTTTTCTTCGATTTGAGTACCTGTTGGATGAGACAGTAGTTACAAACAGCCACAGGGATGCAGTTTTAAATTTAATACGGGAAGTAAGTCCTCATATATACGTCCAAGCAACGAATAATGGACCCCACAGCTCTCCTTTCTTTGTCAATCGGTTTAGAGAAACTCTCTTCTTCTACTCTGCTATCTTTGATATGTGTCAGGCTGTTATGCCACTCCATGATCATGATAGATTGAATTTTGAACAAGTTCTAGGACGAGATATAATGAATATCATAGCATGTGAGGGTTTGGAAAGATTGGTGAGGCCTGAAACATGCAAGCAATGGCACTCTCGCATTTTGAGGGCGGGCTTCAAGCCGATGCCCCTAAAACCTGAACTCATCAAGGAGTTGAGACACAAGGTGAGGACAGGATATCACAAAGATTTTGTGTTTGTGGACGAGGGCAACTGGATATTGCAGGGGTGGAAAGGTCGGATTTTTGGCGGCAGCTCTTGTTGGGTTGTTGCATGACAGTTTAACAACTACTGATAGTAAGGGAGTATTTGCAATTGCTTCAACTTTAAAAAATCGATTTTTTAAAGTGATTTTAGAGAAAGTACTTAATAGTAAAAGTTGGTAGTGTTTGAGAAAAAAGTGATTCTGAAAAAGTAAAAGTTGGTAGTGTTTGGTAAAATAAGTACTTTTTGTGTAATAAAAAGTTTGAGTTATTCACAACATTTACCCCTTTGGCCAACATTTATCAAATTTAACTTCATAAATTGTTTCAATTTGAAGAAAATTTTCTAAAATATATGCTTTATAAGCCAACATGATTCATCATCATAATTACAAATCATTTTATTTTATCAATCCTGGATTTGAAATATAAGTTCCTTATCAGACCTGAAAGATAAAATGTATCGATATAGGGTCTCGATGATTTAAACCCAACAATCTAAGACCTAAAATATCTAATAAAATTTCTATGAAGAAAACAAATCATCAAAAATTAGTAATAATAGAAATATAAAAAATCAAAATCTATGATATTTTAGATCTTAGATAGGTCGAAAGACCTAAAAACAACGTCCTCCTCCTTTTCCTGGCGCGCTGTGTTGTTGGGTTAACTGAAACCCTCATATCCGATTTTCGGGTCCAATCTCTTCCAGCGAGCAGTGTTATGGCAGACATGTCTGAGGTGGCTGCTTCTACACATTACCAAATCGACCTCGGAAACCTAATGGCTTACAACCCAAATCACTGCTTTGCCTCGCCTCCCACTTCCAGGGAGGAATTGGCACAGGAGGTCTTGCAGGAGGGAACTAGATTAGTACAAGCAGTGGCTGATTCCCTTTTCAATTTACCTTCAACAGAAGACCGGGATGGTCCCATCGTCAAGTTACCCCCACCCAGAACAAGATTGCCAAGAGCAAAACCTTTTCCAAAGCCTATGCCTCCAACAAAATGGGAGCAGTTCGTCAAAAAGAAATGAATAAAGAACCAAAAGAAAGTGAAGTTTCTTTTTGATGAGCAAACTGGTACATGGAAGCGCCGATGGGGATATGATCGTGTAAATGATGACAAAGATATAGCAATTATTAAAGCAAAGGAAACTGATGAACCTGGAGAAGATCCTTTTGCCAAGAGACGACAAGAGAAGAAGAAGAGAGTTGATAAGCAAGAGAAAAATAGATACCAAATCTTGAAAGAGGCTGCAAAAGTTGGAGCATTGCCAAGCCATATTCAGCTTGCCGCTACTTCGTTACCGATAACAGGGACACAGACTGTGCCTAGGAAAGTTGGCAAGGTTGAGCTAGGAAATGTTGCTGGAATGGCTGCAACTGCAACTGCTAGTGGTGGAAAATTTGACAAGAAGTTGCCAGGAGAAAAACCCCTTAAACATGACAAGAAGTTTCGCAAGTTTCTGCCTGTTGCAGAAGGATCTGGAATGGGCTCTCTAGAAAGACAGCAAACTGATAAAGTGCTCAACAAACTGTTGTAAAAAAATTCACATGAAATCCTCAATGTTAACAAGGCGGTAAGCATGTACAATTTTGCCTAATAGCAAACCTCTAAAGAAAATTTTTGCCAAGAAACCAGAAACGGGGAGAAAGTCTAAGTGAATTCCATCATCCTTAGCAGTTGCCAAAAATCACTTGAATTTTGGAGATTTTCTCATCTCATCCACACCACCCTGACTTTCATCATAATAGTTTGTAGTCAAAGCTGAAACAAAGAAAAATAAAATCCAGAACATTGTCTTCATTAAAAAAAAGATCTTAGATTTATAGTGGATTAATCATTCAGGTCCCTTATTAATAATGGATCTATCTTGTAGGTCATGGATTGATAATTTTTTTTCCTTGGTATTTCTTCTCTGCTATGTACGGAAGAGATGTCATTAAGATTAATTTAGCCGAATGAATTACAAATAAAACTTTTATATTTGAGAAGAAGAAGTGCCTGAAATTTTGATAACACATATTTTAAACTACTTTCTTTGAATATCCGATCCCATGAATATTATTCTTGAGTCTTCTCCCTTAAACTACTCTCATTAATATTTGTTCCATGAGTAGCTAAGTAGTAAAATAACCATCAACAACATGTGTTTTACTTTTAAAGTAATTTTTGTAAACAATTTTCATTAAATTTGAGAGTTATATTAAATTTAATTTAAGAAATATTATTGTGAGGGGACAAATAGTGAGTATGATAGAAACTTAGTGGGTAACTAATTTATTTTTTAAAATGCAAGGTTGCATTTATAATTATGGCATAACCTCCAAGGGGTAATAGTAATTTTCCATTATATCAATTTTATTTAAACCAAAGTACAATATACATTTTGCATCATTATCTGGAATTGTAAGGGCCTCGAAAACCCGGCAACTGCCCAAGGCGTGATGGACATAGTGCAGAATCATCGCCCGTCAGTCATCTTCTTGATGGAAACGAAACTTCGGTGTCAGCGTGCAAAGGACCTACTGCGTGTGGAAGGATTTGCGCAGAACACCGACATGGATAGTGACGAGCAGAGTGGCGGCCTGGTGGTTGGATGGAATGATGAAGTAGAGCTCAATATTAAAAAATTTAAAGCTAAAGTACGTATATCGCTTATAAATATAAAGTAATGTTTGGCAAATCTAGACGGCCTAGGCGGCCGATTAGGCGCTCTAGGCGGGCAAATAGGCGGTCGACTAATTCACCTAGATGGCAAGCCAATTAGTCGGAGTGCCTAGACAAAAATCGGGGCGCCCGACCACCGCCTAGCGCCTAGGCGGGTACTAGTCGGACGCCTAGAACGATTTTTAGAACAGAGACAGCAATGTATGCATGTGAACATTATTGCTAGTTCAGATTATTATTATGAACACTCCCGGTAGTGATTATTGTTGTAGTAGACCTAAAAGTAGTTCTTATGAATTTCACCTTTATAAAATGACATAAAATATTAAAAGAAGACTAAATGAGTCGATGGTAAAAACATATTGTTAAACTCATATTTTTATCTAAATGAATCGTGCAAAATGTATATTATATGTAGTCTACTTAAAATGAAATTGATATTAATGCAATGTGATAGTTACAACGAACATCTTTTCACATTAAGGGGGCGTTTGTTAAGGTGTAAAGTAGTCATTTTACATGCAAAGTGTAGAGATGCAAACAATTTACACTGTTTGGTACGATTATTTAATGTAAACTGTAGGGTACTATTTTAAAACATTTTACACTGTACCATGTAAAGTACTTTACGTGGGGGGAGGGTGGTAAAATATTTTACATTCTTGATATAAAATTGATCAAATTAAAAACTTTAAATGGAGCACCGGCTGTTCTTCACGTGAGACATCTCTCACGTACCCTTGCTCAACCAATTCTTCTCAAGCGCAGCACTGGTTGTTCTTTTTTCGATCAATAACATAGCATAGCTGCTTAGGGATTATACCTGCCACTAATAATTTCAAATTCCAGACAATCAGACATATTAATCAGTCTTATTCGAAAGCCTTGTTTATGACTTGTTAATTACTTAATTAGTCTCTATCATGTGTATATTCAAGAAAATAATTCTCTATCATATACGCAGTAGAAGTTCGAAAATAATTTTTCTTCTTTAGGAAATTCTTTCTTTCTTTTTCTTGGATCAATAGTAGTACTAGTTCTTCAATTTTGCTATTTTGTTGTATGTTATTTTAACAATTTTGCATTCTCTTTTCCTGTTACGATGGAATGTTAAAAGGGTTAATTTTGATTTTTAATTGTAGCTTTAACTTGCATGAACTTATTTTTTGAGCCAAACGATGTATTTATTTGGCATGTATTTTAAAAATAGATTACATATCTCACTAAACAATAAATTTATATTTTACGTGTAAAATGATTGCATCCCTACATTTTACATGCAATCAGTTTGCGTGTAAACTTTCAGTGTGTAAACAACCAAACGCCCCCTAAGTATAAATAAAGAGGTAAGTGTCAGATTAGTACTCGAAGTTGCATAAAAAGGTTCAAATAAGTCCTTATATGGGAGGCTCTATCCGGCCGTCGCCATTTGGGGCGGTTCCTGGTGGAACTTTTTGACGAATTTTTTTGACCATCTTATTGATTAAGTCTAGTTTACTCATACCAAATTTCAGCTAAAAATTCAACCGGGAAGGCATTCAAATGAATTATTTGAAGATAACTGTGCAGTTAAAAGCGCAGTTATCTTCAAGAATTCATTTGAATGCCTTCCCGATTGAAATTTTAGCTGATATTTGGTATGAGTAAACTAGACTTAATGAATAAGATGTTCAAAAAATTTCATCAAAAAATTACACCGAGAACCGCCTCAAATGGCGACGGCCGGACAATAAGAACTTATTTGACCCTTTTCATGCAACTTCAGGTACCAATCTGACCCTTACCTCTATAAATAAATATGGTTATCAACAAACATCTTTTCACATTAAGTATAAACTAGCTAGTTTTTTCATCCGTGCATTGCACAGGAGTGAAGTGCCTAAATACAAATTCACAAGCAATTATATAAGAATTATAATAAACTGAATGGCAGCCCGATTTATTAAAAAAGTCAAATAAAATTCAAAGTGATTTGTCTTTGTAATAACATACTGAGAAATAAATTGGAAAAGTTAAATGTAACAATCATAATGCCTAAATGTACCTGTTGGTAGAAAATATGTTGAGTAGAAAATTCGGCAGCAATTCAGTATGGTAAAGTGACGTGTCCAATACAAAAGAAGGGGCGGCCTATTTATAGGCGCTTACAAGATGTCTGTGCTAGGGCCAATGGGCTTGGCCCAATTAAACAAATAAAACAAGAAGCTTGATCCAAGGCTAATGGGCCGATCCGTCGGCCCAAGAGTTAAACAAATCATTCCACGGACCATCTTCTCTAGCCGGACCGTGTGCTGGGCCTGGTCCGAGCCCGAGCCCAGGCGTATTGGGTCGATAGTCTTGGACCCGGCAGGCGTATTGGGTCGATAGTCTTGGACCCGGCTCATTATCCCAACAGTACCATTATGCATTCATTTTCTTGCATTTTTTCACATTCAGAAAATATTTCATTATCAACCAAAATAAACCCAATTTTCCATTTTTCATTTTAAAAACTGAAGTTCCCCATTTGCATGAGAAATTGGTATGCTACTGCCTACTGGTTTTATGTAACAGGAAAAATCCTTGGCTTGATGAGGCAAGTCTCTTGTTGATTCTATCGATAATAGAAATTAAAAAGTTACCTAATTCTTTTTGAAGGATTTGCTCACCTTATCCTTATCTGTTAAAGCATTATTCAATTGTCTCATGCGGTGGACGGCATGTTGCCATAGGTATTTTCTTGTTCCGAATAACAAAAGAGAGATCTAGTAAAAATGAATCTAAAATATAAATGGTTATAGGAACTAACGTCTTTTAGAAGTTTGTAAAATATTTAGTTCAATAAGATCAGTTTAAAGTTTCATAAAGAATTACTTAGACGGATTTTAGATAATGGCTGATTATGTATACATAGTGATTGATATTGTTGATGTTAATAAATGCCCACCAAAAAGGTAAAACTGTAGTTATATTAACATAAAGATGGGAAGCTTGAAATACTATGAAGTTAAAGTGTTTTGTTTTCTTGAAAAGTAACTTCAATACAAAGCGTTAAAGGGGATGTGGGAATATTTTGCAAGTTGCTATTGATGAGAATATATTTTACGATGACAGAAAAGAACTTATGACACTATTATGACTTGATAAAACAGAACAAGGAGTACGTAGCTAAGATGTGCGTACAAACCTGAGCTTGATTTTTCAGTTTCCCGTTGTCTGTGATAATGATATCGAACTACCCTTCAACTAAGGACACAAAAGATGAAAGTAACTACCTTTCAAATAACTACCCTTCATCATTACAATATTACGGCTTTGTTTGCAAGTGATTGTGCTTAAATAAAAGCATTTTTTGGTAAAAAGTGATTAGTAGTAAAAGTTGATAGTGTTTGGTAAAATAAGTGCTTTTTGTGTAATAGAAAAAGTAAAAAGTAGATTCTACACAGAAGCCAAGAAAAGTAAAAGTTGGTAGTGTTTGGTAAAATACGTGTTTTTTCTTAAAAAAAAAGCCACAATCACTTAAATTAAGTGATTGCAAACAGAGCCTACACCTCTTTGACTTCCCCTACCTTCTTCAGCTCCTCCTTTGGGATCTCAAAAGCCGAAACTGGAAAGGTCTTGCCTACGCCGAGAGAACCTCGAAGTAGATCTTTCCGGTGGGCAGGTCATCCACGGAGATCTCGCTCTCGCTGATGGTGTCCCACAACAGCAGCTCCTTGGCCTTGACCCTTGTGAGCTTCTTGATCTTGTTTTGCTCCCCATTGGCTGTCACCTCGCACCCATACTGCACCAGCTTCCCGATCTCCTCGAATTTGTGCTCGGTCTTCTTCTTGGACTTGAGCCACACGAAGCCGGTGTCCTTGATTTACCCGCACTCCTCCATGTCCTTCATGGGTAGCAGCCCTGCGGGCAGCCCCACTTCTCTCAGCAGCACCTTCGATTTGTCCTGGCAAAGTTCGTTT